CAGTGCTGCGGCAAGGATGTCCTTAACCATCTCAGCAATGACACAGGGCAAATGCGGGGAGTGGTTTTAATCAGAGACATTAGCTCAAGACTTTGTGTCCAGCATTTTTATTAGGGGTCAATCAGGAGGTACGCAGCACCACTTAAATGACCTCACTCTAATCCCAAGAACAAAACCAATGCTTACCACAAACCACATTGTTCACAATGTGAACAAATTGGTACCTGTGGCCTCAACCCTCACACCTACAAAAACACTTGCTAGGTAGAATATTCCCAGGCCTTGGAACTCATCTCCCAGGACCCAGACAAGGATCAGGCCCAAAGCAATACTTTTTCTGGAAAAGAGCAGGATTTGAGCAACTCAAGCCAGCAGAGTTAACCCTTTCCTCACTGATTCATCCCACCTCTTCGGACACACCAATGCTACCTTGTCAATCACCTACACATTAACCTGTATGCTGTTTCTAGCTTCTGACTTTAGTTGACAAAGTTTCCCATATCAGGGAAAGCTCCACAAAAGAAAGTAAAGATTTCTAGGATTTCATTAGCTGATAAAATAAAGCCTTACAACCCGGTGAGTTGAAGGCCCCTGGAGCAAGTGTAGTTGAAATATCAAGGTCTCCAGTGTGAGCAAACAGAAGGCCCCACAGAGCACTCCTCCCCTCAGAATCTGAGGTGTTTGCTCTCAGTGACTCATATGAATGGTCAGACCAAACCCAAAAGGTCTGACTTCCAGAAAAGTCACACAATAAAGATACACAGTGTGAACGACTCCCATATTTTAATACGATGAAGATCTGTGATTTCTATGTCATAGAGGAATTTCATGAGACTATCCTAAAAAAGAGTAAGCTCTGAACATTCATAAAAGGACTAAATGGCAAAAGTGGGCACATAAATCTATGTCACAAGTCAGAAACAAAATGAGAATTTTTATTGTTGTTGTTTTTGTTTGTTTGTTTTTTGAAACAGGATTTCTCTTTAGCTTTGGAGCCTGTTCTGGAACTTGCTCTGTAGATCAAGCTGGCCTTGATCTCACACAGATATGCCTGTCTCTGCCTCCTGGGTACTGGGATTAAAAGCGTGGCCTGCCATCACCATCGTCGAGAATTTTGCAATTAACAAAATCTTAATTATTTTAATACACTGCCCACTAATTTAATTATTTAGTATTTATTTATTTCAGTGATAAGGTATGATCTTAAAGATTAAACCTACCTTACATGATGAGACAGCTGAAGCTAAAATAAAAGATAAATTCTGGCCTATATAAAGTTAGGTCAGATTAATTTGAGGGAAAATAATAAAATATTTAATCATATTGTGTTTTCTTTACTTAAAACAGAAACAGTTTCTTCTTGGTGATGATCCTACATATATTTTCATTCATTTTTCTAAAGTTTTAATCATAAAAATGGATGTTACTATTTCAAAAGAAACCTTGATAAGCAATAAATTAGAGCGATGCATATTCCCACAGAGGGCAACCATAGGAAAAAATGGCTATGGCCATGTCCTAGAATAAACTAAATTTTCACAACTATAGGTGAAAATAAGATACACCTACTTTCAGTATCATCTGAAAAACAGAAAGGGGGAAGGCTCCTGTGAACTGTCTAACAACTACTTTTCACAAGAATACCCTATCTTAACCTACACAATTCACCATGTGAAATTATTGCTTTGTTAGCAACGAGCAGGCAATAAAACCATAGTCATCACTGACTTTAGAAGGCGACATCTAAATTCTTTTCTCATATTATTTCCACAGCACATCTATAAACAGTTTCAGAATCTACTACTTTTTCCACTACCATCATCAACACCCTTTAAAGACTAAAGTTCCCCATAGCAGCATGCCTCCAAGCTCCCCAAAGCTTCAGAGAGAAAAACTCCACCAGACTTCTGCAACTGTGCTTCTCAAACCACAGTCTTAATGTATTCAAGTCTATAAAATTCTCTCCCGAGAATGTTTAATTTTATAACTCAGATCCTCCATAACATAATAATATGGGGTTTTCCAGTAGAGTGGTGTCACTTAGAACTTCTTTGATAGTCAATGACTACGATAGGTAGACAAGAGCCATAACAGAATTAAAATATAAACACATTCATGTCCACATGAGGACCAAATGATGTCACCCTTCCCAAGTAAAAGGTTCACTAGTAGCTCAAAAAAACTGAGTCATCGCATTAACTATATGGATGTTAAAATCAAAAGAAGCTATAACATAGGTGAATATATGTACATTATAAACATATAAACCTATCAAGTTATCATCTATACCACTAACTTAGCTGTAATTATTTGTACAGCATTGTAGTGATTACAAATGCAGCACACCTGGTGATTTATTTCCTATGTATATTTGTTATGAAGTATTACTCATATTTCATCATATTTCTGTGGTAATAACACTGGAATCAGCAATGGGGGTTCGAGAGAATATCTGCAGCAGTAGGGTGCATGGGCTGAGTAAGAGGAAATAGCCGTTCACCCAATATTTGCTGCTGCTCTCAAAGGGGTGCAGATGCCAACAGGGAAGCAGTTAATGGTTCCTGACATGAACAGCAGGCTGTAGAATTCCTTCACATTGAAGTCTCCGAGCCTCTCGACTCAAAGGCTGACGACACCATAGCCACACTACAAGTACATCAAGCAAAAGAGGCTGTCCAGAAAGCAGTGAACAGTGCCAAAAGGGTTTCAAATGACTAAATTTGATCAGGGACCACAATAAAGAAACAAATAAGAAAAGAAAAATATCTAAACATTGAAAGTTTTAATATTATGAAAACAATTGCAAAATATAAAATAAATTTTAAAAGGAAAGGAAACTTTGAACTTTATGTACTGAGCAAATGCCAGGTCTAGCAAACAATGTTACTCCTGGATTACTTGAGTTTTAAAATAAGGTAAAATATAAAAACAAATTAATGTTTTATAGACCGTAAAAAATAATTTTCAGCAAAGTACAAAAATGTCAAGCATTCCTTTCTTTGAGTTTGCAATTCTTTAATGTGGAATAGCTTGGGCTATCCATTCTGTATTACGGAATGAAATTGAGCACAGAAACACAATTTGAATTATAAAATTCTTGCTCTAATAAAACTTCCTTAAATGGTAAAAAGAAGGGAGCCAGTGCCTTGAAACAATACAAGAAATCATTAGATTCCTATGTTTCCTCCTTTTTTTTTTTTTTTTTTTTTTTTTTTTTTTTGACAAGACTCTTACTGTATAGCCTTGTCTGGTCTGGAATTCACCATGTCGATGAGGCTTGCCTTGAACTCATGAGAGAGCCGCCTGCCTCTGCCTCCTGGGATTAAAGGGATGTGCTGCACCTCCTAACGCCATAAGATAATGGTTGTGCTTGAAGTAGCATCAGACCCTAAGTATTGGGCCTAGGGAGAAGGATCTAGATGAGGGACTGACAAATCACGGTGCATACATCAGATCACACTCATGCCCATGTTCTTTCAGAATACAGACAATGAGTATCTGGTGTTTCAGGGGGCTCTGCTGAAAACAAAGAAAAGTAAAGTCCTTTTCCTTACTCAGAAAGATAAATTACCTTAGTAAATTGCAAAGTATCAGCCTATAGTTGCTATTTCTAAACAAGTTTTAAAAAGTGAATTTTTACATTTTACACAGGCTCTTAGGTCAAGCAACATTAAATTAATAAAATAAGTGTGCAACTAATCTTAAATTTCCATTCAACTGAAAATTTTTAATCTCAAGATAAACTTGTAGTAACTGATTTTCATCCAAAGTATGAAAGTATTTTTTGTTGTTGTTGGTGGTGGTGGTGGGTTTTTTTTGGGGGGGGAGTTGGTTTTTTAAGACAAAGTTTCTCTGTGTAGCCCTGGCTGTCCTAGAACTCACTCTATAGACCAGGCTGGCCTTGAACTCACAGTGATCCACCTGCCTCTGCCTCCCAGGTGCTGGGATTAAAGTTGTGTGCCACCACTGCCCTGCCCAAAGTATGAGTTCTAGAGCCATTAAATATGTAGAACGTACATGTATGATTTCTTTTCCCAGACTTCCTGCTTGGCTTTACAAATGAAAAGCTGCATTGTGGCTCACGTAATTTGTATGTATCATTTATGATACAAAGACCCAAGATTTTAATTTGCCCAAAACAAATGAAAATTATAAAGTCTCAAACAAAATTTATCTCAGGTTAAAGAGTTGCCTTGTCTGGATGGGACATAGCTGAACCTGAAAAGCCCGGCAGGGTTTGGTAACCCACACCCGTAACCCCAGCACCAAGGCAAAGCAGGAAGGTCTGGAGAGGACAGCCAGGGTTGGACAGCAAGACTGTCTGAAAAAAAACAAAGGAAAGCCTAACAATACTCAGTGCTCCTTGGGCTGTGGAATAAGTTCAGCCCTCCCACAGGCAGCAGAGTGGGGTGGAACCTAATATGCCTTTCTGAGTTGTCCATCATGCACCCCAAACCGGGACAATCTCCCCCCCCCCCAGACGTCCTGATCACCGTGCTCACAATAGAAAGCCATTTCAACAGCTCTTTTTTAAAGTTTTCTCACTGGCATTTCCACTAATGGTTGACCTCTGCCCACTGGAAGCAAACCAAAACACAGTAACCTGAACAAAGCCTAAAAGATTTAATTTACAAAATCAACAAGATACACTACCACTACAAAGAAAGTTCACAGAAATAGACGCAGGCAAGTTGGTGAGCTGTACTGCTTAGTAGTAATTTCAGCATGACAGATGCAATAGAAAGCATCCAGAATGAGTAAACAACAAGAAAGAATAAAGAAAGTGGTGATGGGAACTGTCAAAAACACGTCAATGTGCCCCAACGTCACGTTATAAAGAAGACATAATCTCAGCAGGCAGAGTAACTTACGAAACCAGAGCTGTCTGCTATAGCAATCAGACTCTAAAAGGTCGCCTGCTTACTAGTCTTCTTTGAGTTTATTACTCAATATTGTGAGGTCATGACCTTAAGAGAAAAGAAGGAAAAGAGAACACTTACTGGGAGTGAGAATTCCTCAGCCAGGTACTTCAGTAAGGATGCTTGTTTGGCCAAAAACTTGTTCCTTTCTTTGATGTTGCCCTGAAGCTGAGGATCAAACTCCTTTCTGACCACAGAAGCAATGGAGTCAACAATCACAAGTTTGACTCCCTTGGAAATAATCTCTTCTTCCAAAGATTCGAGCCTGAGAAAATATAATTTGTAAAATAGTGAACAAATTTAAGACATAATTTTATTTATGTGTCTTTCTTTACAGGAGGAAGATGGAAGAACATTATATTAAGGTTTGAGAGAAAAGGTAACCACTGGCTGGGCAAGCTGTAAATCCTGGCAGCTTCTGGGAGGAAGGAGTTAGGGGAGAAGAGACAGCATCATGCCCTTTGGGGTAGGGTCAGAAATGGAGATCTGCAAGCATCTGTGAAGGGAAGGGAGAGTCAGAGAAAACAGTGAGAAGCCTGGAGTTTGACAACAAACATGATTGGGATTTCTGTTAGTACCCAGCAAAGAGAGAGAAAGTGGGGAGAGGGAAAGCCATGCTGGAGTTAGAACTCTGAAAACTGGGCAGGCTTAACAACGAAGATCTGTCAGTAACTGCCCAGATGTAAGTTGTTAAAACAGAGTGAAGGAGCTGGAGAGATGGCTCAGTGGTTAAGAATACTTGTTGCTCTTGCAACTGGCATTTGGTTGCCAGTACCCACATGGTGGTCACATGCATCTGTAAATCTAGTTCTAGCAGATAGCACCCCCTCTTCCAACCTGCAAGGGCATCAGGCATGCAAGTGATATACATACAAACATGCAGACAAACACTCATAAAATATAAAATAAATAAATCTAAAACAACAACAATACTGTGGCATTACAAAGATTAATCAGCTTTAAAACAGTAAGCCAGGTCTGGTGACACAGATCTGTAGTCCTCACTATTCAGGAAGCTGAAGAAAGAAGTTTGCAAGCTAAAGGCTACTGGACTATAGTGGGAGTACAAAGTCACACTGAGTAATGTAGCATGACCCTGTCTCAAAGTAAAAAATTTAAGAATGGCTAAGATGCAGCTCTTTGGCAGAGTATTGCCTGACATACACTGGATCCTTGGTTCAATCCTAGTAACACACACACACACACACACACACACACACACACACACACACACACACATATATATACATGCACACACACATGCATATACACACACATTCTTCCCTAAGTTATAGTAGTGACCATAAAATTCATCACATATGGCTGGAGAAATGGCTCCAAAGTTAAGAGCACTGGCTGCTTCTTCAAAGGTCCTGAGTTCAATCCCTATCAATTACATGATGGCTCACAACCATCTGTAGTGAGATCCGGTGCCCTCTTCTGGCCTTCAGGGATGCATGCAGACAGAACTCTATACATAATAAATAAATCTTTAAAAAAAAAAAAAAAAAGGCACATAGAACTTAGTTCAGCCCAGCACTCCTATCATATTGCATCCTTATGGAAATAGGCAGTGTTTTCATGTTGTCCTACAATACAATAAAAGCTGTAACTTTAAAGTAAGACTACTTGTGGTAGCCTGCCTCCAAAATGGCTGCCTCTTGTTCCCATTTCCTGGGATGTCACATCTTTATATAAATATACCCTCCCTGTGTGTATGTGACCTCCCTCCCATGTGATGCAAGAGTTGGTCTGTGAGACAAAAGCTTTTGACGACAGTGGTGTTCTCACTCTAGACAGTAGGCACAAAGACTACCACCGCCACATGTAAGAAAGCGGAAGTGAGGTTGGAAACAGGTGCCAGGCCCACTGAGCCATGAGTCAACTGCCGTCCTGGAAAACCAGCTAAGCCACTCCCAGAGGCCCCCAGAAAATAGATATCTGTTCTATTAAGCTGCTACACTTTGAGGTAATATGCTAACAAAACAACACAGAGTTAATGAACCACTTAGATGCTAAAATATTCATTTTAAATGTCTTTCCATTTTAAAGAAACATTTCAAAAAAACTACAACAAATAAAGAGTAAAGAAATAATTATTTCCTTAATTCTCTTACATAAGAATTCCTTTACTCAGAAAAGAGAGAGAAGGAGGAGAAGGAGAAGGAGAAGGAGAAGGAGGAGAAGAAACCCTCAAAGCACTATGAAATATCAAAATCTGAAACTGCCTACCTCTGCAGAACACCCTCACAGCTGAGTTCCCGGTGAAGATAAACTTTACTGCTCATCAGAAGCAGTTTTTCTTCAGTGTTAAAATAGAGTGGAAAACGGGATTCTGCGATCTCGACCAGTCTGTGGAGAAAGGGGAGAGAAACACAAAAGAAAACAGTGAATGCTTAAAAGTCACACTGGTGAGCCTCCATCACATGCTATCTGGGAAATTCCTGACTGTCCCATTGTCAGGTGCAGGCCAAAGGCTGCACACAGAAGCCTGGCGTGCACCAGGCGCCCCCTGTGTGAATTAGCAGAGGTCAGCTGTCAGAACAGACTCTAGCAAGGCTTCTGGGTCTCACCCAACTTCCAACAAGCAACAACGTCTCCAAGATTTCATTTTCTGGAAATAATATGTTTACAAGTAACATTTTTGTCTAGCAGCTATGTTAGTATACTTAAAAATCAGAAAAAGTTTTCAGCTGCTTCAATGAACAAAATCTATCTAAATTAATATAGTATATTAAACTAATGATAACTTATATCTAAGTTGGCATGTCTCACTCTAGAAAAATGTTTTCCCAATTAAAATATAGTGATATCTAGTAGTTCCTTGGTATACATAAAAGTATTATTTAAACAAGTGAATGATACTCAGTTACTTCTCAGTAAACAAAATTATTTTCTATAACTGAATTCATACCCCAGGGCAAAATCTAATATAATCCAGGGCAGCTCAAGTAAAGAGTGATAAATTAGAACAGAAATTACATCATCACTTAGCAGAATGAAGCACAGAGGGCATTAGTAAAAATTACAAATGTATAGGATTTAAAAGTCAAAAACAAAACTCTTGAGAATAACTGTATCCCACTTAAAATGACATTTGTCAGCCCTATGTGGTCATCCTGGGGACCTGGAACAGAAACTGTAAACACTAAGCCACCCCATATTCCATGTTCAAGTTAGAGACACAGAAGTACAAAAGATCAGCGTCCAAACAGTTAAAGGGTTCTGAGACGAGGCTGAGATCTTTAAGCAAAATAAACAAAACAAACCCTTTAAACAGCTATAATCAGAAGCAAGGGGGGTTGGGCCTAAAACAGGAAAAAAGTAGAGAAAAAATAAAGACAGTCAACATTTTAAGTGTATTTTCAGTAAGCTGAAAAGTAAATAATTTAGTTCAATAAGAAGAGATTCAAAATGCTTCAAGAGAAAAAATACTACTTAAAGAGGTATTCAAGTGAGGACTGCTAGACAGAGGCAGGGGGGCTAAGGAAAGACAGACAGGAAGGGAGGAAAGCACAGGGACTAAAGGGGGGAGAACAGAAAGCAAGGAAGAAATGATGTGCCATTGGTCATGGGAGATGAGCAAATTGGGAAGGTTTGCTAGAAACACGTACTTTTTATGATGATGATGCGACTACGCAGTAAGTTCAGCACTCAGTTATTACATGGGCAGGAGCTACTGTTGCTCACAGTTGCCGTGCTGAATAACTATAGGGAATAGTCAGCAACATACCAACCAATATGTTCCAATTTTCTATAGGTCTCTCCAGACGACTTTTATTTTAGGAAAAGTTTTTAAAAAATATAAATCAAAGCTAAGTATAAATGTGTTCTACATGCCTGGTATTAATCCCAGTAGTATCCTATGACAATCTTCTTCACAAGACCTTGTTTTTCAGGCCAAGTAACAGAAAAACCTATCTTTTCCTCCAACATCATCACCGGAAGCTTGAAGATAGTGCCACCTACTGGCTATTTTCTAATTAAAAAAAAGCATTCCTTTGAAAAGATTCATTTAAAATTATTCATTCAGTCAGGCATGGTGGGGTGCATCTTTAATCCCAGCACTTGGGAGGAAGAGGCAGGTGGATCTCTGTGCATTTGAAGCCAGCCAGGGTGAGTTCCAGGACAACCAGGACTACACAGAGAAACCCTGTCTCAAAAAACAAAAAATAATAAAAGAAAAGAAAATTCATTCATTCAAGATTTACTGGGGATGTACACAATGTGCCAGGCACTACTGTAAGTACTGAGCATATGGTATTACAACATCGCCCCAAAAAGGAAATGAGTAACATCAGGGAGAAAGAAAGTTACATTCTCCATGTGCTGGCTAGATTTATGTCAACTTGACAAACTATAGTCATCTAAGAGGAGGAAACCTCGATTGAGAAAATGCCTCCATATGATTGGGCTGTAGGCCAGCCTGTAGAGAGCATTTTCTTAGTGATTGATGGGGGACAGCCCAGCCTTTTGTGGGTATTGCCATTCCTGGGCTGTTGGTCCTGGGTTCCATAAGAAAGCAGGCTGAGCAAGCCATGGCAAGACAGTATGGCCTCTGCATCAGTTCCAGCCTCCAGGTTCCTGCCCTGTTTGAGTTCCTGTCCTGACTTTCTTTGATAATGAACATCGATGTGGAAATGTAAGCCCAATAAACCCTTCCCTCCTCAAGTTGCTTTTTTTGGACATGTGTTTTATCTAAGACACTCCAGAAGGAGAGAAAAGCAAATAAACATATCAGAGGCCAGCTACAGTGCTCTAGAGAACACTGAAGTACGATGAGAGAAAGGTGAAAGCAAGTGGGATTTCATGCAGAGTCATCCAGACATTTGAGCAAAGGCTTAAAGATGAGAAAGCGAACAACGTGCTGTCTGGAAGAACAGAACTAAGCAGGTAAGATCCCTCACATCGCTGCACAGTGAAAAGGATAATGTAGCTGGGACACAGGGAGCACAGAAAGATTAAAAGGGGAACGCCAGCTAGCCGGAGACCAGGGTCCCCTCAGAATCTCAGATCTATGGTCATCCGTTTGGAGTTTATTAAGAAAAAAATGAGACGTCTGGGAGCAGAACTGACACGATCAGGTTTTCTTTTTACCTTACCCATTCAGCCACCACATCCCACATAGGTTTCCTTAAAAATTAAAAATAAAAAGACTGCTGTGGGGGATGGTGCTACAAAGCACTTGCTACTCTTTCAGAAGATGAAATTCATTTCCTAACAAGGATGGCTCAAAACCATCCTTAACCCCAGATCTGGGGGGGTCTGCCACTCTCTTCTGGCCTCTGTGGTGTCAGGCACACATTGCTCCTGCATATATGCAGGCAAAACATTCATACACATAAGATACAAAATAATAAATAAATCTCTCTTATTTTAAGAGTGCTCCAGCATCTGGGGAGATGGCTCAGCAGATAGGAGTGCCTCTATACAATCATCAGAACCTGAGTTCAAATCTCCACTATGGAAACATAGATTGGAGAATGACTGAGGCTTGATGGTTGCTAGCCTAGCTCCAAATTCAGTGAGAAACCATGTCTCAAAGAAATAAGGGGAAGAATGATACATCGACACTTACATCAACACCAACATCATCCTCTACCCTCAACAATCAGGTGTGCGTGAATACACACACACACACACACACATGCTCACACGTTTGCTCAAGATGTCAAATGAAGAAAAGGCTATAGAAGGAGCAAGAGTGAAAGCAAGATGAGCTAGTACTGCAATCCATACAAGATGAGCTAGTACTGCACCATCACAATGGTGACCTGACCTAGGGAAATAATACCTCAGATGATTAGAAGAACCTGGATTTAAAGCATTATTCAAAGGGGGAGCAGGAAGAATTTGATTAATTAGATGAATAACTAGAAAAATGGAGACTCAATCAATCAGGATTTTCTTTATTGGTATTCCTCCTGTGTGTGTGTGTGTGTGTGTGTGTGTGTGTGTGTGTGTGTGTGTGTGTGTGTTTATGGGGTAATCCAGAATTCATCTTCAGGTACATCAAGTTATCTACATAGGTAAACATAACTATAACATGCTATTATATCAAGTGGCAAATGTATATGAATATGGGGATTGTGGGAAAGCGAAGAACATGAGCCCACGACCCTTCTGTCAATCAAGAAACTTGTTAAAAACATGAGATTGGATAACAGAGATTGGGACAGATAAAGGAGAAACAAGATCCCAAAACTGAGTTCTAGGGTTCTCCAAGGCTTAGAAGCTGAAAACTGAAGTTCCAGCAGCACAGATTAAAGAAGTAGTCAGAGGATAGGAATCAATTCAAGAGAGACTGACTCCTGCTAGGAAGCCAACTAAAGAGAACAACGTTCAAGAGGACAGTCAACAGCAATCAACAGTGCTACATGACCAAACACATGGTGGGTCCATGACCGGGCTGAAAAGATCCCACTTCCTAGTGATGCCACAGCGACCATGCATTATTCACAGGCTTATAGTAATATCGGTGTAGACAAGCTTACTATGTTATCAGTCATATAAGAGCACAGAAATATATAATTATGCACAATATATAACACTTGGTAATTACAATGGACAGCTGTGTCTCTGATTGTGTTTACCCTGCTAGCAATTGAAATTACAGCATTTTCAAGTTCAATAGAACGCAATGCAGTGGCTTCACATTGTCTCTGCTCACCATGTCTCTTGACTGTATACAGAGGCCATATCCATGATGAGCACATGAGTAAGTACACTCTAATGCAATCACAGGACAAACTGTCTCACGATGCAGTTCTCAGACCATACCATCACCATTAAGCAACATATGGCTCTGAGTTAAATAAAGTTTTGAAAATCAATTTCAATATAGGGCTAGGAGATAAAGCCAGTGTGGAATGGATTCAAGATAAAATAATAGGGAGATTTTTACTTCTGTACACAAAAGATTAACTGGCTTGGGAATTGCCCTGATAGCATCAACAACTAGAAAAGCAGACAAAATATCTGAAATAACAGTTTCACACACTGAACAATAGTTCAAAACTGTGACCCTCATGAGAAAGGAAACTAATAAAAGAACCTGAAGTGTGCTCCAGGCTCACACCAGAGGCACTTTCCATTCTACAAAACAAAAAAGGGAAGCCAAAATGAGTCTGGTGGAACCTGAGTGGAGAAGATGAGATCAGAGTTTGGGAAGGCCAAGCTGGTAGAACTCAAGTGCAGAAAAGCGGAGGTGTGAGGTCTGGCGGGGACCTGTGGATGGGTACACTCCAGAACTAACACGCATAATGCATGGAAGGAAACTACTCAGGAGGGACCAGGGGACAACACAGAGACTAAACACTTCCCAGCACTCACGCGGAATGAGAACAGTGCAAGTTCCCACGTCAACAAGGAGTGCAGAGACCTCATTACACCCTAGGCAACTGGTGGAGTCCTCAGAGGCTTACTCAGTCTCAAACACCGCGTGAGAGCTGCTGTAACAAATGTGAAGGGACAGCTTTAAAGTGACCAAAATAATCTTACTAGTATTAAAACAAAAAATCTAATGCTTTAAAGCTGTATCTGTAATTCCAGCATCTAAAATAACAGTATCTAACAAGCAATTCAGAGATTACTAAGAAAGGGGCTGGAGAGATGGCTCAGCAGTTAAGAGCACTCACTGTTCTTCCAAAAGATTCAGTTCCAACCCAGACCCCTCATGAAAGACCACAGCCTTCTGTAACTTACGACACCCTCTTCTGGCCTCTGTGGGCACCATGGACATGTCATACAGATATACACATGCAGGCAAGCACTCATACACAGAAAATTTTTAAATGTTTAATTACTAGGCATGTAAATCACTAACAAAAGACTAGAAATTATATAGATGATTGCATTACTAAAGCCCGCAGAAACAGCTAATTGTAATCTTATAAATGTATTTAAATAGGTAAATAGAGGTTGTCAAACACTATTTACTATAGACCAAAACCAGAAAATAATCTGTTGTTGTCAGTAAAGTCTTATTTGAACACCTTATTTGTTCACCTCCTATTACAGTTTTTCTTTTCTTTTTTTCTTTTTTTCTTTTTGCACTATAACAGCAGAACTGAAGAGCTACAAAAGACTAAGAGCTGGGGCTGCTCAAGGCCTTAATCCCAGCACAATAAAGAGAGAAGGAGGAGGCAACCTGAGCTATACAACAAGACTGAGTCAAAAACAAAAGGAAGAGCCAGGTGATAGCTCAGTCGGTAAATGCTTGCATTACAAACATGAGGTTCTGGGTTCAACCCTCCTAACTCATGTTTTTAAAAAAGGCAGGAGTGACAGCACAGCCTTATAATCTCAAAGTTGGGGAGGCATTTTTCAATGAAAAAAATGGGGGTGGTTCAGTGGTTAAGAGAATTTACTGCTCTTCCACTTGACCCAAGTTCCATTCCCAGCACCCACATGGCAGTTCACACCCATCTGTAACTCTAGTTCCAGGGGATCCAATACCCTCTTCTGACCTCATAAGGCATCAGGCACACAAGTGATAAGCATACACACAGGCAAATACCCATAAATATAATTTTTTAAAGGGGGTAGATAGCGCCTGAGGAGTGGCACGCAAGGTTGTTTGCCCTCTGGGGTACACATGCACATCAACACACACACACACACACACACACACACACACACACACACACACACAAACCAGCACAGGTACTCATGTATGTGTACTTGCAACTGCATGCACACAATCTTGACAGAATAAAAAACTAGAATGAATAAATAAAATAGCTATAAAGAATGCCTACAGAGATAATATTGTTACTGAGATGTATCAGAAACAAGAATGTTCACACCACTAATGAACCACGCTTAAGGCAAAGCATGCGTGACCTTTGGGTTTAACCCTCCTCAGCCATAAACCTGAACAATGCACTATCAACCACCCCACTATTTCACATTTAAAATGAATTCCTTAAGATAAGAGAAATAAGCAAACAGCTCTTTCCTTTGACTTAATTTTTAAACTGAGTTCATCTTTGGCCCTGGTTATAAATGACATACTTTGAACAATGTAACACCACAAGCCACAAATCATACAAACAGCTATTGTTAGGAGGCGGCTTAGGGGTTTCTCCCTGCCCTCTCAAGTCTAAAGAATGCATTATCTCCTTGCTCTAATAAATCCCAATGCTGCTACATGCTGACTCACATTAAAATTCTTTCTGCAGCTTAAGACAAGATCCCTTCCCAGCCAGTGAAGCTCCCTAAAAAGAACTCTTCATGCTAAAGTCAGCTGCATCTCTCACTGTTGCTACCAAGTCCTTCTTTTCCTACTTGTCATCAATAAACATAGCATAATGCTTATTCCATCCATATGTATAGGAATTTTCATAGTTGCCAGATTTCCATAGGCTGGAATATAGATCTGGGTCAGTGGATTATTTACTTACCCATATTGTCAAGGTGCACATAAAAATATGGCATCTAAGACTGCTGTTTTTTAAGCAGATGTCTAATAGGTAAAACAAATAAAAACAGGCATTTTCCCAAATTATCCAGAAGAGGGTATCTACAACTCAGCATCTCTGGAGTCTCTCAAATTCCTTTTGAGCCTATTTCCTGATCTATCTCTTCTCTAAATCTTTAAACAATCAAAGCTATGGTTAAACACTGCAACTTACCAGCCCAACCCACTTCCGGTTCCTGATGCTATGAGTCTCTCTTTTATTGAAGCAGCAGTATAAACAAGTTCTCACAACTCATCATGATTGCTAGATAACCTTTGCCCTCATTTTCCCATATTCCCACAGAGAAGTGGTCCAGTGAGAAATCTGCCTAAGAAAACATCTGCAGATAAGAAGATGAAAAAAGCAGGTATCCTTTCATTGGGGAGGGAGGCATGGTGGTGCTCACCTTTAATCCCAGCTCTCAGGAGGCAAAGGCAGGAAAAGTTCAAGGTCAGCCTGAACTACATAGTGAGTTCCAGGAACACTGCCTCAAAGATAGACAGATGATAGATAGACAGACAGACAGACATTTTCAAAGGATTATTTTACTGATAAAAAGTGTGGCTAGTCCTTTCTCTTCCTAGTAACTTAAGCACAGAATGGATACAGATGCCTAAAATAAACCAGCCTTAGGTCCCTGTCATCACTGAACAGCTAACCCAGATCTTTACATGTGAGAAAAATGAACCCATTTTGTTCAAGCCACTGTTCTTTGGGTATTCAGTTTACTTTTGGCAGAAAGCTTACACAACTCACTGACAAATCTTCTCTACAAGGTCGAGCAGATTTGCAACAGTACAAATAACAGATAACCAGACACTAAAGAGTAAGCTCCACCCATGCATGCTCCACCACAACATACTCCAGAAGGCTAAACCATAGGTACTGCACCTCCGCTCCTACCTCATCCTCACCAGATCTCAAAACATATGCTATGTGGAAGCAACCTTACCCCACTTAACAAGCTATATGAAAATGCAATAAAAACTAAAACCAATATAAGTTTTCACCCCTATTCTCAAATGACCTTCTTGTGAACTATGTAACATGAATTAACATAAATATAAAGGGACTAAAGTTATACCTGTTTTCCACCCTGCCTCTGATGTAAATAATAACACTATTATTGTTATAGTGTTATAATGAAGGCAGAAAAGGATGGAGAGTAAATATGGAAAATCCAAACTATAATTAAGGCCATATGCAAAGAAAAGAAATAAAAGCAAACATCTTCACAATACAGAAATTCGAAGACTGCCTCCTGTTGCTTTACTACTACTTGCTACTTCCTCCCTCTTAAAGGGAGGAAGAAGAGGAATCTCAGAAAACTTACAGGGCCCATAAGGCTAAAGAAACCTACACTTTGAAATTCCCTTATGTGTCCGTTATGGTTCCTGTTGCTGACACTTGACAAAAGCAACTCGAGGAGAAGGGATTTTGGGGGCACAGTTCAGGGCACAGCCCAACACAGCAGAGAAAGCCTCAGCTGGTGTTGTGAGAGATTTGTTTACACTGTGTGAAGATAGGTCACTGTGGTTGGTTTAATAAAGAGCTGACAGTCCTTATAGCTAGGCAGGAGAGAATAGGCGGGACTTCCGGGGAGAGGGAGAAACTCAGGATTAGAATCTGGTATGCAGGAGACACCAGGGAGACTCTGAGGAAGTCAGGCATACAGAAGGGGAGAGAGCCATGTGGCAGAACTTAGATTAGTATAAAAATGGGTTACGTTATAAGAGCTGGTTGGAAACAAGCCTAAGCTAAGGCCAAGCTTTCATAATTAATGAGTAAATCTCCATGTCGTTATTCGGGGCTGATGGTCCCAAAAAGAAAGTCTGGCTACAGTCAGGAAGCAGAGAATGATAAACACTCCCCACAGGCAGCTTTCGCCTTTTTATTCAGTCCAGGGTGCAGTGGTGGGTGACACACTCCTTTAAGGTAGGTTTTCCCACCTCAATTACCTAATCAAGACAATCCTTCCCAAGCCTGCCCAGGGGTTAACCAAACCTACATAATCCTCCATAGGTATACTTGAAAGCTTATGTCCTAGGCAATCCCAGGTCCTGACTATTGACGACCCATGTTAAACAACATATCTCACTGCTACTATTTAGGGAGAAATAAAGCTGTAACGACAAAGACTCCAAAGACAGTGTCTGCAGTGTGTCTTGATTCGGAGAGAAGAGGTGATCTCTGTACACATAACCTCCTACTGGGTGAGTGTCCATTCATCCACATTTTATTTCCTTCTAGAAATAACGTATAAAGCAGCACACCTTTTTCTCTTTAGTCTTCCCTTTTCCCTATTTTTTTACTTAACATTCCTCCCTGTTTCTTTACCTTGTTTCTTCTCAGCCTTCTACAAAACCCAGCTTACATAGTAACCCCACTTAAACCAATAAGAAAAGGAACAGAATAGGAAGAAACAATCTGCTTTCTGTATCAATTTCAAAAGAAAAACATCCTTTAAAAACAGTATATAACACTCTTTGCTCTTAAAAATTAAATGTTAACCTATTTGTAAATGACCCATGGTGCATAGCAGTTATAAAAGCAAAGCATTATAATGGAAAAATAAAGCAACCTACCTTTCGGCAGTAAACGCAGACTCTGTGTCAACATACACAACAGCCCCTTCTAATCCTCCCATGTTGGTGGGCAACGTAGCTAAAACACTCATCATTATACAAAATTGAGTTTTTCCACAACCTGGTGGACCTGTAATCTACAAAAACAAAGTGCATATTATATATAAAATGTGTATAAACACTGAAAGCTAGTCAAAGAAAATTATTTTAGGATCTGCTACAAAAAAAAAAAAAAAAAAAAAAAAAAAACAATCTAATTAAGCCCTGCTTCCCTAAGATACCCACTGTATGCAACAAACTTTCCCCTCATTGGTGTATCCCTGGGGTGTACATCCTTGGGAACAATGCAAAAGTGCTCACCAATTACCTTCTGTGCTTTGTTACCAGATGTGAAATGATAATTAAGAAAGGCTAGAAGATGCACCCACCCACTCTCTGCATATACTGGTGTTAACATTGTGAAAATACTACTGAAGACTGACTGATTGGCGAGGTCTTTTAATCTTCTAGGCAGTATATGGCCAAGCTACTTATCGTACAATAGGGTTAATAGATATGACATAGCAAATAGCTTATCTGTCCTTTCTTTCCAATTTTTTATTTTTATTTTTATTTTTTGAAAGAGGGTCTCACTGCATAGCTCTGGCTGGCCCAGAACTTGCTATGTAGTCCAGGGTGGCCTAGAATTCACAGAAGTCTGTCTGCCTCCACCTGAGTGCAGAGAAAAGGGATGTGCCACCACATCCAGCTGCTTATCTTTTTACCAAAAAAAAAATCAGTTCTTCCTTTTTTACGGTCTTTGCTGAGTTGTGCTTCAAAGGAGTTCCATGATCAATCATCATCTAATCACAGAGTAACACAGAGATTCTATGTTTTACAGCAGAGTGTTCTCCCAAAGGCTCACATCATGCCCTTGAACTCTGTCCTTAGTTTGAGGTAGCAGAAACTTTAACGGGGTGGGGGAGGGTGATGGAAGATAATTAGGTCAGACAGGAGGGCAGGAGGAATCATTGTCCCTCTTGTGGAACGTATTAGTTTATAGGCCCATTCTGTACACAGTATTTTCCTTCTTCCTTCTCTGCCATATTGTGACACAGCCAGGTGAGTTTCACCAACAGGCTAATACTGTGCTGTTCAGATCATCTAGCCACCATATTTTGAGCCGAGCCAAATAAATCTCTTAACTATATAAAAGTACCCAACCTCCAATATTTTGTTAAGGAAAATAGTATAGTAATAAATTCAAACAAGTTTTTATAAAATCTAGCAACACTGATACCATTTGAAACACTCTTTTGCACATCTAAAATCAATTTCTGTGCTATCAGTAACCTAAGAACAAATGCATAGAAAAGCCAGAAGATTTTTACAAGAGACACCCATACACCCACCCCTGCACTCAACAATTACCATTTTACTTTATTTACTATACTCTCTTATATCATCTACCTGTCTGTCCATCTCTCCATCTATTTACCAATACATTTTGGGTTGCTTTCTTTTGTACTTCAAAGTAAGCCAAAGACATCAACATGCTTTCTCCCAACAATTCTGCATATATATTCTCTAGAATTTAATAGGTATAGTGTTTTTCCTTTTGAATTTCTCATAACATGTAAATATTGTCTATCATTTGATGAACACTAACAAACACACACATTTGCTTATGGTACTGGGGGTTGAATTCAGGGGTGGTGTGTGCTAATCAAGTAGTATAATGCTGAGCCACTATTCCAACCCTATATATGTAATCTAAATTCCTATAAAATATACATTACTACCTCCACGAAGTGCCCTCATGTATTATTTTCTTGTCAAGAAGTCTTGGGTCTGGTGGTACAGGCTTATAGTCCTAGCTGCTTGGGAAACTGAGACAGGAAGAAACAAGGCATATCTGAGATAGAGTGAGTTCAAGGCCAGCCTAGGCAGCATTTTATCTCAAAATGAGCAGTGTACAAGGCAGGCAGCAGATGTACCTCAGCAGTACAGTGCTTGTCTAACATGGATGAGGTCCTGAGTTCCACATCCAGTGCTGCAAAAACAAAACAAAGACCATCTGTGTGCAGGATGTCTTTTATTTTTGAGGCTATACCTTCCCTATCAACATCTTTGCCTCAATGACATATGCTCAAGAAAGTAGTTTTTAATGGATTTCATTTTTGAAACAGAATCTAGCCAATCAGATAACATAGACCATACTAGAAATATTTACACTTTACACTCCTTATTATTTCTAACATTAATACTCTTGCACATTGTACATAGCCCAAATGTATTTTTTATTATTATTATTATTATTATTATTATTATTATTATTATTATTATTACACTTGCATATTGTACACAGCCCACATATGAAGGTCAAACAGCAAATTTAGCCAGTAGATTCTCTCCTTCCACCATGGGATATGGACACTGAACTCAAGTTTTGGCTTGCATGGCAAGCATCTTCCTCTCTTAATCTCAATATCCCCCCCCCCCTTTAAAAAAATGTTTTTAAGCTGGGTCTCACTTTTATAGTCCTGGGTAGCCTAGAACTCACTATATAGACCAGGCTGACCTTACACTCACAAAAATCCACCTCCCTCTATCTCATGAGTACTGGATTAAAGGTATGTGCCACATCTAGCCAAAAATATTTCTGAATATATATTGATTAAAACTGAACAATCTGTTTTGATAAGTAGAACATCACAGGTCTTTCATCATTACCAAAGTCAACACAGACCAAGTTGTTCATTGCATATCACAACAAGAGAAACTCCAGTTGGTACAAGTTGCACGGGAATCTTGAAAGCGAAGAAACATGTGTATGTTAGAGTGTGAATGGGTGGAAAAATGGAGGACTGGCTATCTTTCTACAAGTATTGTCTATTGCCAGGTCTTGAGTATATACTCTGATTTATTGAGATTAAAACTGCTAAATGCTTGGTGATTTTAGTGATGTAATTTAGAATATATGAAAATATTTAGTAAAGTATCAGGTACCATGAAAATGTACAGTGTTAATTTACTATTCCCTCTTCTAAAACATCTTCCTAAAAAGCTGAAAAGTTAAGTAAAGTGTCCTTTTCACTTACAAACTGCCTTAGTACAATCTGGGAAAACACAACATCATGTGAGTAACTTTAAGCAATATCTGGGTTTGCTTGGCTTTTTGAGTTTGAATAAAACTATATTGACTGTATTTTCCTTCTTAGCAAGGTGTGTGTGTGTGTGTGTGTGTGTGTGTGTGTGTACACCCATATACAATTTTATAGGCTGTCAGGAGTTAAATTTCATTATTTTTCAGGTTTATTTATTGGAGGAAAATATCTCAACATTAATAATTTTAGCTTTAGACAGTTTAGCCCTGAATTCCAGTATCCAAACCACAAGATTTCAAGCTGTGTTTGGTTCCCAGCTTCAATCCAAGGGTGGTTAGAAAGGAAAAACCTGCCAAGCCAGAACAGCCAAAGTCATTTGCTTCTTGGAAACTCAGAGTGAATGAAACATCTGCACACAGAAACACCCATAAGATACAGCTGCACTTATTAAGCTGACACCTTAACACCTCTCCACAAGAAATGCAAAAACATCTAAAAGAAAATCCTTAGGGAAGTCTATTCAAACATCAGCAAGATAGCAAAAACTAGTGACTCGCTTGAGGACGAAAAAAAGGTATTCCCAATAAAAGAAAATATAATTATCTTCAAAAAAAGAAAAAAGGAAGAAAATGAAGGGAGGAAGGAAGGAAGGAAGGAAGGAAGGAAGGAAGGAAGGAAGGAAGGAAGACACTCGAGAGGGTAGGAGCAGGTTGATCTCTTTGAGACCAGCCTGGTCTACAAAGTGAGTTCCAGGACAGCCAAGGCTACACAGAGAAAGCCTGTCTTGAAAAAACAATGAATGAATGAATAAAAAAAGAAGATGAAACTACCCTTTGATGATACCTTTTTAAATTTCCTTTTACATTTATTTATTAGGGGTACATCAAAGTGTGTATGTAGAGATCAGAGGACAACTTGCAGGAGTCGGCTCTCTGATTTTACCATTTGGGTACTAGGAATGGAACTGGGGGCAGTAGACTTGGCAGAAAGCACCTTTACCTAAGCCATTCTTCCAGCCCTGGACAATACCTTTAAATACAACTCTAATTCTACCTACTCACAGTAACATCTATCTCGCTGGTGTTTATCCGGGGTAACATTGGTCCCAGAGGTCAAACAGTGGGGTCAAACAGTGGCTTATTCTTTAACATCAGCACAGATAGACACAAAGTACAGAAATAAATACACAGAGTATCTATGGCATTTAAATTTCCAGACAGTGATGATAGAAGAGGGTTAGGGAGAAAAAGCATTTAAAAGACTCTTTAATGGGTGGTAATGAAAAGAGGGTTCATAATCATTGACATAACACAAACTTGTAAAGTTTAGACTTCAAACTTATCTTCACTGTTTCTTTTCAATTATAATAGATTCAGAATCACTTGCTTGTATATTCCACAAGTAAGGAATCCCAATTCTGTCAGGCAATAAGACAAAGCCCTTGGCTCACTGCTTAACTGTTGAGTAGGACTGCTGTCTCTGATGAGCACTCTCTGATTCCACTTCCCGTCTTGGTGCTGTAACTGATGATGTAACTAACCATACCCAGATTCGGTGAGTTCACCTAAGTTAAAACTGACGAGAAATACATCTGGGGATTGTAAAGTTAAAGTTAAGGAAGAGCAACTATAAAAACGATGAGAGAATGTTTCCAGATTTATATTTATTTCCTCAATCATTTCCAGACCTTTGGATGAGAAACAAAGATTGCACAATGCAAGTAGATACCTCCGTCCATACCTGTACTACTTTTCTACTGCCATATCCAATATCCACAGGCTCAGACGCTTGAAAGAATGCTCATTCATTATCTTAAAGAGTTCTAGAGGTCAGAGTCCTGACGGGCTTGACAGAACTCTGTTCAGTATCTCACAAGACTAAAATCAAGGTAGCAGCTGCACTGGGCTCTTGTCTGGAAAAACCAGTGTCAACTTCCAAGTTCAGTCAGGCTGTTGGCAAAATCTTTGCGGTTTCTCTAGGTCTGAGGTTTCTTTCTTGCTGTCATCTGAGAACTTGGTTCCTGGCAGCCACATGCATTCCTATTCATATGC